GAGGGGAGGGTGACACCATGATAGCCACTGTGAATAATCCCTCAGTACCTACTCAGCCGTCCATAAAACACTGCAGCCAAAGGCAGACTCTTCCACGGCTCTGACAAACACCTGGTAAAACATTGTGAATGTGTGAACCGAAGACCATGTAGCAGCCTTGCAAACCTGAGCCACTGACACCTGATGGTGGATTACCCAAGATGCCCCCACACTTCTATTAGAGTGTGCCTTCACCCAAAAGAGAGGGACCTTACCTTTCAAACCATAGGCTTGAATGATCAATTGGCGGATCCAATGTAAAATAGTTGTCTTGGATGCCGCCTATCCCTTCCTAGGCCCCTCTGGCAGCATGAACAGAGCATATGACCTCCTGACCTGTGCTGTCACCTTCAAGAAGACCCTTACAGCGCGTACCACATCCAAGGTATGCAGAGATCTTTCTCTTGCTGACTGAGGCCTAGGAAAGAATGAAGGCAAAATAATGTCCTGATTGAGATGAAAATTAGAAACCACCTTTGGTAAAAAAGTCCTTATCTTGATGCAAAACCAAAAATGGTTCTCTGCAGGAAAGAGCTGCCAGCTCCGACACCCTTGTCGCAGATGTGATTGCCAGATTTAGATTGTGGGTTTCAATAGCCATGCTGTCAAATTTAGCGACTGTAAAGCTGGGTGCAATATAGGATCATGAGACAGCAAGTATGGTCAACACGGCAGGGACCATGGCCCGTCTACTGCCATCTTCACTATGTCCACGTACCAGGCCCTCGTAGGCTAGGCCACAGCAATCAGTATCACTGGAATAGACTCCTCCCGAATCCTGCGTAAGAGATGTGGCAGCAGCTGAATCGGAGGAAAAGCATAATCAGTGAAAATTGGTTCCATGGAATCACTAAGGCATCTACCCCTGCAGCACGAGGGTCCCTTACCCTGGACACAAGAGGACCGACCTTATTGTTGAACATGGATGCCAATAGATCTACAACCAGGAAACCCCATTGCTGGTAGATTCCCCTGAAAACCTATGGATGCAAAGCCCATTCCCCTGGAATCAAACAACTGAGATAATCCGCCTGCCAATTTTAAACCCCTGGAATGAACACCGCTGACAAACTTGGAACCTATCACTCTGCGCAGGTCGGAATGTAATTTACCTCCTCCTAAGCCCCTTGACTCCTGGTACTACAGTGGTGGTGGATGTATACCACTGCTGTGGCACTGTTGGACAGAATCCTTACAGGCCAACCCTGAAGCCTGAATGTCCTATACCTCAGAGCCAGCCTCACTGCTTGAAATTCCAGGACACTGATGGGTAGAACCCTTTCCTGCGGAAGCCACATTCCCTGAACTGTGGCTTCCTCCAGCACAGCCTCCAACCTGAGAGGCTGGCATCAGTGTTTACCAATTTCCACACCACTGGCTGAAAAAGGATCTTGCTCTCTCCAAACTGTCATCAACCACCAATTCAGACTTCACAGCCTTCGGGAAACAGAGACATACAGTAATCCATGGGCGGAACCTTCTTGTTCCAAACAGTCGGAATGTTCCTTTGCAGTGGTCTGGAGTGGAATTGGGCATAGAGAATAGCCTAGAACGAGGACACCATTTTCTCCAGCAACCTCATATAGGCAAACTGATACCTCTTGGTATTTTAAACCGCAAACTTCATTCCTTAGGACGCAACGTTTCCCTGGAGGAAGAAATACCTTTGCCTGAACCATGTTTAGGATCACCCCCAAATACTCCAGGCTCTGTACTAGCTCCAGGGCTGAGTTCTTGAAGTTGAACACACAGCCCAGCTGTCCCAGGATCTACATCGTAAGGATCACATGCTGCTTCAGACCTGGCACCAACCGACCTCTGAGCAACAGATCGTCTAGATAACCAATGACCGATACACCACGAGTTCTGAGTAGCCTCAACACCAGAGCAAGAATTTTTGTGAAAACTCAGAGCCGTGGCCAGCCCAAACAGTAGTGCTATGAACTGGAAATGCTGAGCCCCTACTAAAAACCGCAGACATGTTTGGTGAGGAATGAATATCAGCACATGTAGGTATTCGTCCTTGATGTCTATGGACGCTAAAAAAAATCTCCTTCCTGTAAAGAGGCCACTACTGACTGAACAAATGCAATATGAAAAGGCCAGACATTTAGAAACTGATTCAGACCCTTGAGGTCCAAAATGGGCCTTACATCCCCATTTGGCTTTGGGACCGAACAGGTCTGAATAAAACCCCTGAAACCTGAGACATTAGGCTATTGAGTGCCTGTAACAAAGCTCTTCTCTGGATTCATTGGTACATATGATTTTAGAAACCAGGGATGGGGGGGGGGGGGAGACCCGAAATTCTAGTCTGTACCCCAGAGAAATCATGGAAATTACCCACTTGGTTTGGATTAGAGCCCTACAGGCAGCAACAAAATTCTAAAGCCTTCCCCAAACCCAAACAAGTGGGGGCGCCCTTCATAAGGAGGCGAACTTTGGATCTGCCTTGGATGACTTATGCACTCAGGGCATTCTCGGGTTCTGATTCTGAGTTCTACCCCTTAAGGCTGGGACCTGTATGCGGTGAAACAACTACCTGGTAAATGAGGGGCCAGCAACCGAAGCCCCTGACCCCTTAAAATATGGGTGTTTGGATTTCCTTTTAAAGGGTAGAAGAGAACGCTTTCCCCCTGAAATCTTTTGGATATACTTGTCCAAATCTTCCCCAAACAGCTGCTCTCCATGAAAGGGAAAACCTGCCAATAATTTTTGCATAACCGTTCTGCCGACCAACTCTTTAGCCACAAAACCCTGCGCATGTGCATTGATAAGAGGGCCAAGCGAGAAATTTTCTGAATTGAATCCTTTGAGCATCAACTGCAAAACATAAACAACATGGTACATCCTCCAAATCCTTGGCCGAGTATTCCCCCTACAACGATGGTCTTCCAAGCATTTGGCATTTGCCAGAGTCTTTCTGACCTGGTCAACCAATAGCTGCCACTGCTGGCTGTGTGGCAGAACCTGCCAGGGAGAAGGAGGCCTTAAGGAGAGACTCCAGTTTCTTATCCGCTGTATCCTTGAAGACCTGGACATTATCCACAGGACATGTTAAAGACATAAAACAGCTGCGTCCACTACAGGCATACCCCATTTTTTAACAAACTTCTCCCCCATGGGGTACAAAAAAGAAAACCTCTTTGGTGGAATAAAAACCCTGTCTGGGTGATCCCAGTCAGCATACATAATTTGCTCCAGAAGAGGATGCACTGGAAAGGCCTGAGTACTCTGTGGAGGCTTCAAAGAGCCCAGAGAATAATAAGTAACCTCAGAGGTTTCTATCGGAGGTAATCTGAATCCAGATCGTACCATATCAGTGAGGTCCTGAACTAATAACCTCTGAGACTGGGAGGCAGAGACTGCCTGCTTCTCCTCAGGCTGTGACCATTCAGACAAAGACTCTGCTGCCTGACCTTCCTCCAGTTCTTCTTCATCCTCAAGTACCACCCATTCCTATTCCAGGATTGGTGGTTCTAGTGCCGGGGATCTCTCCCACTTCTTAGTCCCAAGAAACCAATGTAATCATCCCTGAGATCTTATCCTCCAAACCCGCTATGGCTGAAGCAAGATCATCCTTGGTTACATATGCTGAGGCAGATGCCCCAGTAGTAGCCACAATGCAAGATAAACACAATGGCTCAGACTGCCCAGTCGCTTCTGGCCTCTCGGGAGAGGATACTACAGGGGACATTTGGCTAGGTTCCTCAGGACCTGGCAGCAGTACATTAGTGCCCTTCCTGCTGCGCCTCCCCACTCCGCATTCTGGAACACATTACTTCATTTAGCGTAGAAACCTGTGCACCTCCAATAGTAAACGCAGACCACAAGATACAGCTATGCAAGTAGAGTGTTGAATAAAACACTCACTGCAAATTTCTGACCTCTCGGGCCACCAAAGGCAGCTCCTGACTGACTGACCAATGCTTCCTTTCCCCTCAGGGGAGTACTCACGTGCCCCACCGAATAGCCTGCTCTGTGTCCCAGTCCCAGGAATCTACCTGCAGCAACAGCAGCAGCCCACGTGTGTCCAGGTCCCTAAATGTATAAACATGGTCGATTTCCGCTTGCAGCCACTACTGCACATTTGATCCTTGTGCACGTCCACTGAAAGCGCGCGCACCTCGTTCGCGTGCCCATGGCCACAATCTTATATCCAAAAAATGCTCCCCCTAGTAGTCCACTCAGAACAACAGACAGGCAAAATGTTTTTATTTTTTAATTTTTGGGGGGGCCAAATGCTATGAGCACTCCCCCTGGTGGCAGATTGGTCAATTGCATCAAGAAACTCCCCTTTCCCTTCCAAAACCTGTGTTTTCTTTTTCTGAGAGAAAAAAAAAAAGGGGTAACTTACCAGTCCCGCCACAGGTCCCTGACAACAGCCAAGCACCAACCTTCACCCCTCACTGCAAGCATTGGCATACATACCTTCAAGGACTCGGTCCCCATAATGTGGGGCCACTGCCTCGGACCTGTATAGCACCCCACTGGAAAGCTCCTTGGTCAGATATATACTGCACAGGGTCCCATCTACGCGGGGTCCAGCGTCGTTGGGCTGCATTACAGGCAAAATCCCTAGGATTCTTCCCCTTATCCAGTGAGGCTCGGGTACCATCCATTTTAGCTCTCAGCTTTCCGAATGGATCCGATTAAAGTCCATGATTCCCGCAGGAACCGTACTAGACTTTTGGCATATGCTCCAGGAGCAACACTTTCAATGACCATCCACCTTACAGACACTGGCGAAAAACTGAAGTACTTCCTGTGTAGGAGGGGTTATATAGGGGAGGACCTCCACTCTGATTGGTTGGCCAGTGTCCAATCAACTATAGGTGGCATATAACCCACATAGTCAGGAATAGCCTGCTCTGAGTCCCGTTATAAAGAAATAAACTTTTTGCAGAATACGATAAAATTGTAATCCTATACACTGTTGCCAGATGGATAGGATAATATACCTGGAAGTTGTCTTCCACTAATTCTTCCTTCTTCTTCAGCTTTTTCTTCTTGCTGCGGCTCAGATTCTGCTGCTCCACAATCTTATCATAGTTGAAATGCTTTCGGTCATCCTCCACATCGTCCATCATGAGTAACGCCATCTCTGCCTGCAAGGCACACAAAAATCATGCATCTCCATATCACAACTGCACTAGAAAGTATCACAAACTCTTTTTAAATGCAACTTGAGGTGTTATGTATACCAGTAGAATATGCACAGAATTAAATGTAGACAATCCAAATTTTCTTTCTGTATGAGAAACAGCTTATTCTTTAAAGGATAAGTTCACCTACTGGCCAAAAATAATAAATGCACATTTTTTGTGAGTAAAAAAAATTAGCATTTATTATATTTGTCCAAAGCAGCCTGGAAAGCATTGCACCAGTGATCAGTAGATTGCTGATGCCATGCAGGTCTCCTGCAGACCTGTCGAATATCTGCTGGCTGCACGGGATGTAAGATCAAGCAGATATTCTGATAGGAAGCTTCAATGAACTACCACGGTATGTCACAGCGCCATGGTAGTTCCTTGAAAACTACACGCCGACAGCCGCTAAAGCTGCTGGGACTTGTAAGCCCTCATTCACAGAGCTCTGTGAATGAGTGAAGCGGCTGTGTGGGTGGAGCCTCGCGCGGCCACGCTGTTTTCAATTCTGACAGATAGTTTGGGTACCTTCTCCCTGTACTGTCAGAGGGAGGGAAGAGAAAGGGAAGGGAAGAGAGAGGGAAGGGAGGGGAAAGGGAAGAGAGAGAGGGAAGGGAGGGGAAGGGAAGGGAGGGGAGGGAGGGAAGGGAGGGGAAGGGAGGGGAGGGAAGGGAGGGGGAGGGGAAGGGGGGGGGGAAGGGAGGGGAGGGGAGGGGAAGGGGGGAGGGGAGGGGGGGAGGGGAGGGGAGGGGGAGGGAGGGGGAGGGGGGAAGGGAAGGGGAGGGGGAGGGGAAGGAAGGGAGGGGGGGGGGGGAAGGAGAAGGAGGGGGAGGGGAAGGAGAAGGAGGGGGAGGGGGAGGGGAAGGGAAGGAAGGGGGGAGGGGATGGAAGGGGAGGGGGGAGGGGAGGAAGGGGGGAGGGGAGAGGGGGGAGAGGGGGAGGGAGAGGGGGAGGGAGAGGGAGGGAGGGGGGGAGGAGGGGGGGGAGAGGGGGAGGGAGAGGGAGGGAAAGGAGAGGGGGAGGGAGGGAGGGGAGGGGGAGGGAGGGAGGGAGCGGAGAGGGGGGGAGAGGGGGAGGGAGGGGAGGGGGAGGGAGAGGGAGGGGGAAGGAGGGGGAGGGGGGGAAAGAGGGAGAGAGGGGAGGGAAGGGGAGGGGGAGGGGAGGGAGAGGCGGAGGGGAGGGAGAGAGGAGGGGAGGGGAGATGGGAAGAGGGGGAGGGGGGGGAAGAGGGAGGAGGGGGGAGGGGGGGGAAGGGGGGAGAGGGGGGGGGGGGGAAGAGGGAGGAGGGGGAGGGGAGGAAGAGGGAGGGGGGGGAGGGGAGGAGGGAGGGGGGAGGGGGAGGAAGGGGAGAGGGGGGAGGAAGAGGGAGGGGGAGGGGAGGGAGGGGGAGGGGAGGGAGGGGGAGGGGAGGGGGGGGGAGGGGAGGAAGGGGAAGGAGAGAGAGGGGTTGGGTGCAGCCATGTAGCTGTATGTAGAGGTGTTTTCAGCAGCTTTAACCCTTAGTAGGTATAGATCAAGCAGTACAAGATGCTGGAATGCTCTGGAGCAAATTGGTACCACTTGAAACAACCATTCAAAAAGAAATGAACAAACCCTACCGTTCTGAAGAGCTTCTGTACAGCACAGTACTTTTTGAGGCTCACACTACTGACCTTGTTATGAAAACACTGGTTGCCTGGCTATCAAGCAACCAATGGTTTGGCTCTGGCTATATTATTTTCTGAATTATTTACTTAGAACTAGTTAGTAGATGAGTCACTCTGACTTTGCTAATTTTTTTAAATTAGAACCTGTCATGTATGAACATTCATAGGTATCTAAATCTCTCACCTTTAATTTTGTTATAACAGTGCACTCTTATCTCTTGGAGATTTGTGTGTGTGTAAGCTGTTTTTAACTGTATTATCTCCCTTTCAGAGCAGAAACATCACTCAGTGTATTGAAAGCTGCCCTTTCTCCTGCCTAAGCTCAGGGTTGATAAATAATAGTTTGTCTGGACTGCTAGGAAAAGAAAGTTACCAAGACAACACCAGACTTTGGAGGGTCTGTTATCTAGACCAATCCCAGAAAGAAGAAGATTCATTCTATTTAAAATGTCAGTTGGTGACTGGTTCTTTTTAAAGTGAAACTGCACCTAAAAACTGAACATTTGCGATGTTATATGAAAATTTTTAAATTATTATACAGGATTTATATAGCACCAACAGTTTGCTCAGCGCTTTACAATATAACGGGAGACAATACAGCAACAATACTGTTCAATACAAGAGGGATTTGAGGGCCCTGCTCCTTGGAGCTTAAAATCTATAAATAATATAATATGCCTAAGCAGTGCCCTGCAAAATGCACCTTTTGTTTAGATTTCCTCATGAAAAACAGCAGTGTTCTTCCCGGTATGTGAGGATACCTAGGCTCTCATATACCTACAGCCTAATAGCTGTATATGTGCAGTGTGATATCTAAGGTACTGCTGATATCTAAGGTACTGCTGATTGCTAGTCTTAGAAGATTTTAAGTGAGATTTGGTGATGTCACTACTGTGTGTCTGTCAGGAAGCAGTCATCTTAGTATAGGCAGGGCTTTGCTTTCTCATGTTAACGCCTCCAGAAGGAACAACAGCGTTCTTCCTGGAGGCTCTTATGTGAGAAGTAAATCCCTGCCTATACCATGATGGCCACCTCCACACAGACACACAGTACTGAACAAGGCTCTGTAAGTATATCATGGGGAAGGATCAGCTGCAGAGAGACCACAGGTAACACTGATGGCTAGTCCTCTGCCTGTTGTTTTTTTGGCAGTGTCTGCAGAGTTCAGTCTCTATCAGTTAACCTCCTAGTATTATATATACTTAGAGTAATTCAAACTAATTTAATTCCCAAAGACTTATGGTGAACATACACCATCCTGAAACTTCAAGGTTTTACTATGTCTGGCAGGGTGTGTCTACATACTTCTACCCAAACTGACTTTGCAGTATAATATTATGTATGTATTTTCTGACCCTCTATGGATAATAAAAGTTTCTTTCACAGCTGGTCTGTACATATGTCCACAGCAAACATGTCCCTTTAACCAGGACAGGCAGAATGATCCACTAAGTTGTAATCCAATCACGTCTATTATACTTAATTCAGCACTTCACCACTTCCTCCAAGCCGGTAATTTAATTAGCATTCAGTGTAAACGCTTTCTGGCAAATTGCAAAAAACAAAAAAAACGGAACTATTGCAGACACAAAAGGTGCCTAACAGAACAGAGCGATGGGTTCTTGACACTGTGAACATAGAAACCCTGTGTCACATGTTTATCCGGATGAAAACAAACCATGAAATGTATCATTACACACTGTGGTGGTTTTGTGATCCGCCTGCCAGTCCACAGGCATTTCACTTAACAATCTAAGGAAAAATAACTTTCATTTTTTCTTTCCAGCATTACAAAGCAGGGTTATTTTTTTCCCCTAACTAGCCATAAACTCCAACACACTTCACTATTTCCAATCTATGTTTCACAGCATTATACCCTAACAAAGATCGACACAATCAGAATAAAGGTAATTCTGTAACTGGTGAGGTTCTGACTGATAAAAAGTGGAGCAAAGAAAAAGGAAACTGTCACACCTGCAACAGCAAATGTGCCTAGCCCACCAAGGATGAAATCTTATTGGTTCCTATATCCGGGGACTTTGTTCTAGTGGTCTTTGATTCAGATTTCATAAATCTGCCCCGTTGTTGCAAAACGGAGGGTACAAGGTACAAATCTCAATTATTTGTTAAATGATTTATTGAATAATTAGTGTCAGAAACCAGACTTTTGGAGTCTACAAATTTTTATGAATCTTTGCCCATTCAGGGTATATCCCTATCCCTCTGATGAAGCCATGTGACGATGGCGCAACACGTAAGGAGCGGAGCTGGTGACGTAAGCACACTGTACAGGACGTTGGGTGGAAGGAAGCCAGTTCAGGGAATATAGAGAATGTAACCTATCCTTTAGCTTCAGGGGACAGTGTGGATTTTTGAAACACAAAGTACAGTATCCATCCACACCAGGGAATAGTGCAAGCTCTTTCTCTGCAGTGCACCAGATTAGTGCACATTACCATGTGAGTGTTTTTATAAGTTGAATAAAACCTTTATGCGAGTACGGAAAACACTATGATGGTTTAATCTTTTATTTTGAGCATTCCTCTGAGCCCAGGTCATCCAGGACCCACCCACCCCATTGCTGGACAGTGAAAAAAGGTGGACAGTGATGAGCTCATCTCTATTTTACTCGGCTTTCTCCTCTGATCAACCGGCTCCTTGTTACTACATAAACCAACTGACTCTACTATCTCCTCTTACGTTTCAGCTCTTTACAGAAATTGCTAAATCAATTCAGGCACTTACACTTTTTGCATTTAGGAAATTTGAGGATATATTTATGAATTACAAAGTTACATTAATTTGTGTTGCTTATACTGTATCTGCCTAGAGTTCAGCTTTAAGGCCTTGTTCACACTATACATGCATAAAAAACTGGTGGAAAGTGAGGCGCAGATTTCACTTGCAGTGACTTTAGTTTCACATCAGTTTTCATGCAAGCTTCAATCAGCTTTATATATGTTGCAGATTCCTGCACAGAAAAAAATCTGCACGTGATACTAGTGTTGTAGTGTGAACAGGGCACATAGAGAACAATTGATTTTGTTGCAGAACGCGTGTAGAAAAATTACGTCTGCACACTGGTGAGAACAAGCCCTTAGATTTAAAGTCATAGCAGACAAACTTAAAGATATTCTGGAAAACGTTTCAAGCCTATATAAATAAGCCTCATTGAGGAGAATAGCTCTGCAGATATGCCTAATGCTTAGTATGTGATATGCTAAGACAGAGGTGTAAAACAAAATATATTGTGATTAATATAGATGTATCTCGCCTTGACTATTGCAACTCCCTCCTCATTGGCCTACCTCATCGCAGGCTATCCCCTCTTCAGTCTATCATGAATGCTACTGCCAGACTCATCCCCCTTACTAACCATTCTGTATCTGTCACCCCTCTCTACCAATCCCTCCACTGACTTCCCATTGCCCAACAAATAAAATTCAAAACATTAACAACAACATATAAAGCCATTTATAACTCTGCCCCAAATTACATCACCAATCTTGTCTCTAAATATCACCCAAACCGTACTCTCCGCTCCTCGCAAGACCTCCTGCTCTCTAGCTCCCTTGTCTCCTCCTCCCATGCTCATCACCAGGACTTCTCCAGAGCTTCCCCCATCCTCTGGAACTCTCTACCCCAATTTATCAGACTATCGCCTACTCTGCTCACTTTTAGGCGATCTCTGAAAACCTATCTCTTCATGGAAGCCTTTCCTGCCCTCAGCTAACAATGGAATCTTCTTCTCTTCCTACCAGTCCATCCCCCACAGTTATTACCTTTTGTACCACTAGCACCTCCCTCCTAGATTGTAAGCTCCAAGGAGCAGGGCCCTCCTTTCCCTCTAGTATTGAACTGCATTGTTGCTGTATTGTCTCCTGTTATATTGTAAACCTGTATAATAATAATAATAATAATAATAATAATGTAAACCCTAAAAGTATGATATTTTGTTTTCCAAAGCACTGTGCAAACAGTTGCTATTATTTTTTTATTTTTTTAAACTCTTTTCACCTTTTTTTTTTTATGTTTTTTTTTTTTTTTTTTTGCTTCTCCGTGCTTCTGATTTTCTCCAGTCTTTTTCAACCACTTCCTGTTTACATGCACTTGCTCCAATGTTGACTGCACATTTTTGGTCTTGATAAGCCACCTGGTAGTATTGATGGTGGATCATGCATGCCAAGTATCCACACACAATTGACTGTAATCTACATGGGGGTAGGGGTGCATGGGATAGGGTGACAATGCAGGAGCACAGTCAGGAGACAGCTGTCACCCTATTACAGGAAGTGCCTGAAAAAACACCTTTTATGTAGGATCACCAGGTATTATTTTAATGAAAGCTGCAGATTTAAATTGTATGTTAACATGCTAAAGCAATTTCAAAAGTTTCAACAACTGGGTTTAGATCTACTTTTAAAGTAGAACTCCAACACTTTGTTTTTCAAATTTTTTAACCTAGGGATTAGAGCCTCCATCAGATTTCTATTACAGTGTCCCTGCTGAGGAGATTTCTGGGCATGCAACTGGGGCAATATTCTAATCAATAGAAACACATATATCAATAAAAACACTTTTTAGTAGATTTGGGTCTAGTCAGAAATTCTTCCTAATTTTTAAAAATGTCTAGGCTGTCACTGGAGAGATTTCCTTTACTTTCTGCCATTTTAAGAAGACGGGAAGTGAAGGGTACTCTACATAGTAGATATACAGTAAAAAAAACTTAACGCTAAACCATTATACCCACTTTCTGCCTTTCTTTTTCTTTCTCATCTTCAGAAGATGCCTGTTCATTCTTTCCAGCTGTAAATTTCTTCTTCATACCTATGATACAGTCCAAAATCAAATGTGTTGACATTTGTAGTTTTGTGCCATTTGTAACCCCTAAAACATCAGTTTATCAGTATAAATTGGTTATGAAAGCTTTTAAAATATAAAACATACATTTCCATATAGGCACACGACTGACAAAGGAGGGGACACCGAATGAATATGTAGGAGGTTTATCACATAACTGGCTCTGGAGGGAGCCTTTGGTCACATAACTGGTATTAGAAGGAGCACTGAATGGATAGGTAGGCTTTTGGTCAAATGATTGGTATTGAAGAGAGTTGGGAGCAATGTTTTATCCATTAAAGCAGGGTTTTTCAACCAGAGTGCCGCAACAAAAATTACGCACTGCCCGGTACTGTCCGATCATTAAGGATTTCCACTGTTAATGTCTGTGTACAAAGAAGCAGGAGAGATCTCATCCAGCATCCTCCAGGCTTCTCTCCTCCTCTATGTATTACAACCTACTGACCACTTAAATCTGCCTTGCAAACTACATTTAAGGCTTTTTCACACCAGGTGAAGTGCGGTAATACATGTGAAAATTAGCATTTTCCTGCACCACACAAAAATACATTGCCTTTTGCAGTTATTCCTGAATGGCACCCCCATGCAACCACCAATTGCATGTATGTTTGTGCCCATTAAAATGCATGGCACCACAGTACCATGCATTCTGGTGTTGCTCAATTTAAAAGTCATGCCAGCACCATTTTGTGTGTTTCACAAGCATAGAGCAGCCTAATAAAAAAATGTACCATGTGGCAGAACGCAAAAAAGTGCTAGCGCTCGGACGCCCCTCCTTATGTGAATGAGTCTTCATACTGTTGTGCCCCAGGATTGTGCGCAGTTCTAAAGTGTGCCTTGACTGAGAAAAGGTTGAAAAACACTGCAAGTATAATGAAAAGCAAAACATTTTTTATTTTGGATAGAGTAAAGGAGGATTGTAACCCTTTTCAGTGTTTTCGTATTGGAAAGATTTACTGTCACTTCCTGTCCCATAGCCAAAATAGGACAAGAGGAAAACCTGTGAAATGAGGAAATCGTTAGTTGTCACCAAAACTAGTATTCCCATTGTAAGGTTTTCCCTCTATTCCTGTTCGGGTGACAACCCAATTTTACATTCACTCGCAGTGGTAATTACCAGGACAAACAGAAAGGGTGAATTTCCGTAATGGAACACAGACAGCTGTAGCAGGTGTTCTACGCCCTCTCCACTCTATCCAAAACAAAGTTTTGCAAGTTATTTAAAAAATCCATCTTAGGAAGACTTAATATAGTGTTAGTTTAACATTTGAGTACAAGGCAGCTTTGAACAGAATCTGTTAATCTGCCCAGAGTGACAAGTTCTCTTGTGATAAAATCCTGTTTCCCACAGATATCTACATCTAACACATTGGAGCCCTTATCAGTTCTTTCGTTTGCCAAGCTCAAACACTGTCATGTGAGGAAAAGGAGAAAGAAGTAAACTCTGTATAGGGTCTGAAACCATAGAACACGTTAACCCGAGTTTAGAACTCCAAGGTTTGACTGAGAAACATGGGGAAGCCAATTATCAGTGGATATTATCCCTGAAGAGGAAAAGTAGCAGTCTCTTTTTAAAACAGTAATAAAGAGGCCACCCAAGGGGAAATCTTTTCCTTCTACAATAAACCATTAAAAGTGGTGGTTGTAAAGACTATTTTTTTTTTAAATAAAATAAAAAAAGATGCTATAATTACCTGCTCTGTACATTGGTATTGCACAGGGTGGTCCCTTACCTCCTCTTCTCCCCATCAGGCGCATTCTGCTCCTACTTACCTTTGTGTGTGCCCCCATAGCAAACCGTGTACTATGGGGTGCCATGTGCGAGTGTGCTCCCGAGCCAGGCTGTGTGCCTCAATAGAACCACACAGCATAGCTCAGTCTTGCCCCCTGCTCCCACCTCACAGGATTTGTCCGACAGCCGCAGGAACTAATGGCTCCCACTGCTGCCCAAGACTCCTGTGAGACCAGAAATTGAAGGGAATAGACCTGAAGCTGGGCACAGCACTTGGTCGCCAACAGGCTCAGGTAAGTGTTTGGGGGGGGGGGGGATAAGGGGAACATAAGTGGTTGTAAGGGCTTCAGGGTTTTTACCCCAATGCATTTGCTGCATTAAGGTAAAAAACCTTTTTTGTGCAGCCCCCTCTAAATACTTACCTGAGCCTGATCTTGATCCAGCACTGTCCATGAAAGCAGAAGCAGTGCTCTCTTTCACTCACCATTAGACTCAGTGAGAAAAGAGGGACCCTTTGGCTCCTGCTCCTGTCAATCAAATGCAATGACAAAGGAGCGGGTGGGGCTGAGCCACATTAGACACACACAACTCGGCATTGAGCCTGCACATGTGCCACCATAGGAAGCGGCTTAGTATGTTGGCACACAAACAGAAGGAGCCAAGAGCGACAGTGGGGGACCCCAGAAGAGGGATATCCTTGCATCTCTGTGCAAAACCATTGCATGGAGCAGTAAGTATAACATGTTTGTTAAAAAAAAAAAAAAAAAGAAAAAAGGACCTATACAATCACTTGCAGGCAATAAGGTAAGAAACCTTTGGACTAAAAAAACACTTTAAATCCTCAGTAATTGCTGATTTTGTACTGAAAATGCTAGTTGTTTGTTTGCCTCTAACTTCTATACTTTCTAAAACCTAAATATAGAAACTAAGAAGGCAAAATTCCTAAACTCCACGTTTGGTCTGGCCAAGGACAGGTGGTATTGAAGACACGGGGTCGTCATGGCAGTCGGAATTTTTGAGTGAGGTGAACGATTGCAGCTTTTCTCAGTAGACATGTCCTTTAAGACAATACAGGCCTAACAGATTGTTCCAATGCTTCGATTACCTGGTTTCTTCAATTCCTCCGAAAAGTAAGGATCACTGAAATCAACATCAGATGGTATCTCATCTTCTTCATCTTTTTCTTCTATGCTCTCCTACAAAACACATGGTGGTAGACAAACCGCATGAACACAGATAAAGCTACAGTATGGCTTTATTAAAAGGTGCAGAATAAAACTACAGAACTATAACAGCAGTTCAAGCACTCATTAAAGCTTTTATATATAATGAAGGAATTTGGCCAAAGTAAAAGTTGTTGTAAAAGCTCAAGGTTTTTTACATTCATGCATTCTATGTATGGTGAAAAACCATCTGTGTGCAGCAGTGCCCCCAGCCCCCTCAACACTTAACTGAGCCTCATCGCGATCCAGCGATGTGAACCACAGCCTCGGCTATCCCGGGTCTCTGACTCCACATTGGCTGAGACAGCAAGTGGGAGCCATTGGCTCCTGCTGCTGTCAATCACAGCTAGTCGGCCAATGAGGAGAGAGAGGAGGGCAGGGCCAAGAATAAATAAATGCTGATCATTGTAAGCACCCCTGCCAGTGTTAAATGGTTTATCTCATCCCTGTAACTGCAAGAGAGCATGTTCTGTTTAAAAATAACAGATTTACTGGTTGGATCACAAATGTAATGCAAGGCTTCTGCAGACTGTCAGTGCTCAGTATGGTGTATATTGTCAGTGCTCAATATACACCATACATGATGTGATCAGCACAGGGCCAATCAGCAGTGTCCAGACAGATGTCAGAGGTCCTGCATCCTCCTAGAGGAGGAAGAAAACGCCTCCTACAAGCTTTAACATGTGCTTTGCTGGACACTGATAAAAGTCACAAGACTGCTCTAACTGCTGATGAGAAAAGGTAATTAGCAGTTTATATTTACTAAAATAATTGCCCTTCCATGTAGTGTGTACTGTGGGAGACCAGATATAGTGAATGCAGGGTCCTGGGTTTAGTAACACTTTAAATTACAGTTACTATTTAACACATTTTCTGTTTTTTTTTGGTAGTTGCAGCTCCTCAGCAAATACAGCTCCTTGCAGAGTTATTCTACTGATTTCACCCCCTGAATTTACTTGAATAAAACACGCCTGAATAAACAATTTGCTAATATTGTATATTGTAACACAAAGTATTTTTTCATAGCTGGCAGAAAAACACATCTAAAAAAATAAGTCAATTAAGGATATTTCCAAATAGATGCTGAAAATCTAATTCACACATTTATTCCTTTGGTAAAAAATAACGTTCTCTGGAATATTTATCATCCACAAGCTGTACATTTTTTTCTACACTGTCGGGTAAACAGCAGGCAAAACTACATAGTTTTAAGAAAGCCTTGAAGATGCCTGGTCTCTTGGTCTGCAACATTTTATAAATGTGCTCTTTTTTGCTCAACAAAAGATTTATTTTTCTATATAGGGACCTGTTACATCTTATCTGCTGTACCACCCGCATTGTAAGTTGAATAACTGAGCCATATGAAAATATTACACAGCAAAGACAGAAGTATGTGCAAGGTAAATGTGAGACTTGGTGGGGATTGATACCATAACTGCTATCATGTTTGATATTTCTGGGAAAAGTAAAATAAATGATGAGGTCATTGAAAGTAATTGTGCAGGTTTTGTTGCTCAGTGCGTTCTTCTGCCTGCGTCCGTGCGACGAGGTTGTGAGATCTTTCGATATGTTTGCAGGCACGAATGAGCTTTCTGAGGCCTCTCCAACATTCCAAAACACAACGAAAACAAAGATCAAAGCCCATGCACAGCTACAGCAGTAACAAGCTTATTTTTCTCTCTGTCACATATGTTTGTGATTGATGTGCAAGGCGAGCGCCAGGCCGACATTAAAACACGTGGCAGGCGGTAGAAATATACATAGCTTCAGCAATATGGGTTATATCTCGTGCTGGATGAGACTGGGACCTGGCAATTCATAGTAACCCTTCCCAAACAAGGCCAAGTGGAAAAAAAAAAAAAACACATTCCCAATGGACAACTTCAGTTGCATCCCAGAAGTTAAATATTTGCTAGTGAAATTAAATATTGTGGCACAACACTGAGAACCGTCAAATTTCGTGGTGGGACTTTAATGCACCAAATACTGTGGGGGCTTCACTAGAAACTCTAGGGTGATGGACCCCTCCATTTTATCATAAAGAAGAGCTCAATCACATAGGGCATTACCATTTTTTTGGGAATTCCTCTTCTGGGATTTTAATGTCAGGTCAGTATTACCCCTGGTTCACATATGTGTAGCCGTGCGGGACGTGTTTTGCATGGGCACGAGAGCCCATTCATTTGAGTGCGGGCGGCATGCCATTTGAACTAGCTTAAGAAGGGGGGGTTGGGGGAAGGAGCATTTATAAGGCTAGTTAGGTTTATCCTGGAACTCTATTTAAATATTATCATGTTGTTTCTAGGACACTACAACTTTCTTGTCAACAGTGAAAGCTAAAGCCGGCCATACACAGGTCGAATTTCTGAAAGAATTTTCTTTCGAAAATATTTTTTAAGATTTTCATTCAAATTTCGCACCGTTAGTGGGTCACAAAAACAGTCGATTTTTGTGTGACCGTCAAATTTGAGTGATCGGGCATGTTGGAAATTTTTTGAAAAACTAATGAATTTAGAATCAATGATGGGAGAAACGTGCAAGAAATATAAAGCTGTGACCAGGAAAGAAAAGAAAATTCGTGGCCACAAAAATTTAATTCTGTAGCAACATGAAGAGAAATTGAAAACTTTGTTGGTTGATTTTCTAAATCAATGGTGGCACCATCGCATTACAAAATGCTCAAAATTTCTGATATTCTAAAGAAAATTAGTTCGGAATTCGAACCATGTATGGCCTACATAAGGCTTCAAATCCTAACCTGCTCATGGCTTCAGGATTTCATCCACAAGTTGATGTAGTGGTGAACCAGTCCACCCCATTCCCTTCTGTTTGTAATCTGGTGGATTTCTTTAGTCCACTTAGCATGCAGGAGCGTTATACCCAAACACAGCCTCCCTGAGGATAGGAGATTGCGGACTAATCTATCTTGAGGGGAGCATCACTCATTTTGATGGGGTTATCACCAGTTTGAAAACAGTGGCAGTACCTGAAGCAACCGTATCTTCTGACTATCAGATTTATTAAGGTTGCTTTTAGAGCTCACTGGAGGGGGGGGGGGGTTCAATAAAGCTGATGCCACTTATCTGGCATTAATCCCCCTTGTTAATGTGTTTCGCCAAATTCATGAAGCATTTGCAACACTTTTGGCTCTGACAGTGACTCCTGCACCAGATTCAGAAAGTACTACAATTCAGCACTTACAATGAATGCGCCACTTTTACATTGTGCCTCCCTGAATGCGCCACTTTTACATTGTGCCTCCCTGAATGCGCCACTTTTACATTGTGCCTCCCTGAATGCGCCACTTTTACATTGTGCCTCCCCTGAACGCGCCACTTTTACATTGTGCCGCACTTAATGCGCCACTTTTACATTGTGTTGCACTGAATGCGCCAAATGTAAAAGTGACACTAATAAAGACCATCTCTGTTTTGGCATACAGAGAAAAACTGGCCCACGTATATTTTGTGAAAGTGTCTCGCATGCATCCTAAGAGACGTGAGTTCTAGATAAGTATATGAATTTGAGCATTCAGCACCACTTTTAGAATGTATGAAAGCCGCTTTCACAAAATCTGTCTGCACCAGTCTCTATGAATTCCAGGGAGTGTTTTATTTTATACCCTTTTGTGCCTATTAGAACCCTGCTGCTTCCAATTGTAAGCATACAACAGCCTAGGGAGGACATGTCATTGACAGGGCATATATCCCATCAGGTGGGCAAGGCTCATCAGAGAATATACTTTTTGAAGAAGCTATGAAGGGCAGGCTTTTTAGAGTGGGTCCTCATTAGCTTCTGTAAAGCTGCCATTCAAAGTGTGTTCAAGTATCACATTTCTTTATGGCAAGGATCATGCACAGTCCATGACAGAAATGCCTTGCAGAGGGTCATAAAAACCACACAGAATATTACTGCAGTAGTTAGTCTACCGAGTATTGATGAATTGGAGGAGGGGATGTGTCTTCCGAGACAGTGTATAATATATTGGAAGATACTACACATCCTGGTAATAGTCTGTATACATTGCTACCTTCTGGTAGGTGGTATAGAAAGCATTTGCTCTCATCCCACCAAGTTGTGGAATAGCTTCTTTCCTCGATCTGTACGGCTCTTGAATGCTTGAACTGTTGTGGAATAAACGGATTGGGAGTTATGTGTGCTGGTTTTGGTTAAGTGTTTTTGTGTTGGGCGTGGAAATCCTTTTTAATGTGAGGGAGCAACAACTGCATTTCATTTTATGATTGGTATTGTAAAATGACAATACATTTTTGGATTCTGATGTGTGGCTTTGTAAAGATTACGTGTTTTGTCGGAAGTAGTATCATTGCTAATGCTTCAATAAAAAGAGAAGTTCTATACAAACATTATGAAGAGAATATCAAGCAACTCAAAAAAGTAAAACTACTCAGCAAGGTGATTTCAAGTTAAAGTTTAGGTGTGGCGATTTTTTACATAGTTACATAGGCCCAGCCTGGACCAATGTAAGGGTGTATATGCCATAATTGTGGGACACCCCTGGTAACTTCCAGGTCTTGTGACAATCCCCGCCTCATCCTGTCAAAGAATACATTTACTCAGAAAATGCAAAGTACCTGACTTCCTGAGTTCAAGAAAACAGCAGGGCAGCCTTACAGAACCCAGAAGCTAGTAGCAATCACTGTAGTGGCGGTGCCTGAATACACTGATTACCAGCTTCCAAAGGGATTCCTCAGGAATGGCACACACATACTTACATCGGTCCAAGCTGGACTAATGTAAAAAAGTTGTCATACCTGAACTTCAGCATTAAATAGAAGTTCAGGAATAGCAAAAAAAACAAACAAACACACACATTACTCATCTTGATGGCTGCAGCACTGATCCCAACTGCACCTGTGGCTCTACCGCAAGAACTGATCGATCAAACACCACTGATCATTCAGTTCTCCCCCTCCACTCTGAGAAGAGAAACAGCGATTGTCAGTCACCAGCTCTGTACTCTGCCCCTCCTGCGCTGGGTTGTGCAGGGGCTTCTGGCTCAGGCTCTCAGTGGCATGATGAGAGGCTGAGCTAGCTGCCAGTCTGCCGACTGTAAATTCGAAATGATCTTTCCTGAGCCTGGACCAAATGAGTGACGTCAGCCAATGAACTGCACCCCTGTGAGCCATAGGGGAAGTATGTCAAATAGCTTTGGCTATTTGAAACCAAGAAGCTCATCACTGAAGAGTCTTCACTTCTGGGAAGCACAGTAGGGCATAGAAAATATGCACTGTATAATTCACTTTAAACACAAATCAAACACTAAGGTTTATTCATGATTTTAGGATACAGATTTATAGGACCTCATCACATTATCCTAAAATGAGGAATAAATCCCTTTTATTTTGGATTTGTGATTGAAGTGAGACTGGTGGATACCTTGTTTTTGGAAGACTCTACTAAGTTTATAATAAGAAAAATAACTATTTTACAGGGAGGGTACACAGTGGCAATACTACCACTGTGCAACATTTATAGATTATATAAAAACAAAATAGAGAATTCTAGAGTCTGAGCAAAGGTTTTACATTGCCTAGTTATTTGACTTTAACAAAAGTCAGATATCAGTTCCAATGAACCTTTTTTAATGTCTTAATGTTTATTAATGTCCGATCAGCAGTTTTCTGACCTTTATGTCATTCATGTTTGGTAAGTCACAGGCCTTTCTGCCATCAACCATACGTGTTGCGTCTCTAACGTCTCAGATGGGTGAAAGGTAATGAACTGGATCACAAGGTAGCGGTTAATGGCTTGGTAATTTATCAGTTACAAATGGATTTATATCAAGGGACTTCAAAGGCATTCAAAGAAATGTTTTACCATATCACCGAAAGTGAAAACGATCCATACATGATATTGTTGGGGGAATAGATATGTAAAACAGTTACACAATTGAACTAACTGCCACTGATAATTGTACTTAAATCTAAATAGCTCAAAATACACAACCCATTGCAATGCAAAGCTGAAATGGACCTTGAAGCTGTTGGATGCAGCCACTGTCATATTCCTTTAGTGCAGCTTTAGAGGGCCAGCAACTTTCGTATTCCTTTAGTGCAACTCTACAAACTATACATCAAAACAACAAAACTTATAGGAAGGATCTCTTAAAATGTTTCCTCTACGTTCTCAGATTAGCCTTCTGTTAGTTTGTTGGCGTACAATCTGCCTACATCAAGGATGTCTTCTCAGTAACATATTTAGTTGTTCTGAGCACACTTAAGCCTAGTACACACTACTAATTTTTTTCATTCAACCCAGTGGCCTAAATATAAAACCTTTATGGTTTATGAGAATGGCTTTCTGCACCTTTTAAGCATCCTTAAAGTGGATCTTCACTCATAAAATGGACTTCCTCTCATCTGCCCCCACTCCTTCCTCTTCTACAATAGCATACCTTTTAATCTGGTGTGGGCCACTTTTTCCTGATTCCTGGGTAGGGCAGATCCAACAACCAGCCCCACTGCCTCCTGGAATTTCCACATTACAGATCCCACGAGGCAGTGCTTCACTCAGAAATTATGTACTGCGGGACCTGACACCTGAAATAACTGCTGGTTAAGTATATCCTCTTGTTTCTACTATAACCCCACCCCCCTTAGATTTTTGGGTTTTCCCACACATCTTCAGGTGTTCCTGCTCCAACTCCTGCATAATGTAGAAAAACAAATTTAAGCAAGAGTGGTATCCCACATGTGATGGACCTGGGATCTTAAGGCAAAATGTCTTGTTCCACTTCTAGGTTAAAATGGGTTCATTCTCAGAATCCCTAATGATGTGTTTGTTCTACATTATGGGCCAAACACCAAGGAAGCACAACACCTCAATTAGCTGTAATGGATGTGGCAGAACTGGGAATCCTGGTAGAGACATCTCAACACTAAATCACAAGAAATACAAGAAGTACGATTTACCAAGTGAGCAACTATGTCAATCTGAATTTCAGACTGTGGAAATGCTGGCCTTTAATGTAGTAAGCACCAATACAACAACATATAATTACCTTTTTCTTCTTTTTCATTTTCCTTTTCTCTTTATGTTTCTGCAGGTACTTTTCCCATGGAGTTAGCTTATCATTGCCCTCTAGTTTGTTTTTAACCATCTGTTCAGCACTTTCCTTGAGGCCTAGGGAAAACCAGAAGCCAAATGTTAGCTTAAAGTCAAATAAAATACCTGTTTCTTCACTAACGCTGTCACCTTTTGGTTGTAACTCCTTCTACAAAAGGATTATGTCCCTGCTGAGTAAAGGTAGTGAAACAACAGGTCTCATTTAAAGGTCGACTCTAGACAATCAACTATACATACTATATAAGAAAGCTGCTTTACAGGGCAATACATTTGTCTTTCTGTTCATCCAGTTCTGAGACTTAACCAGCTCTGCAACACTGCACAGCTCTGTCTGCCAGGGAAGGAGACCCGATTTATTTCTTCTGCAGTTAAGCAACACAAGTAGGCAATGTTCCTTGGCCAGGTTGTGATTGGACAAAGAAGAAGTAGCATGCTGCTGAGCTCAACGCTCTGTCACACCTGACTGGCTGCTTTCCCTAATCTAAGCTCTGCAATAGTAAAGACAGAAGGAGGCTATTGAGGTCATCTTTCTTTTCTCTCCTCCAATCAGCATGTTCTTTGTTAGCACATGTAAAAGCGGTACACTTATTTGACCCCAGCTGCTTCCTCTCCCACTCTCCCTCCTCCAGTCTGAGTGATGCTGTACAGAGGATTAGAAAAGGCTGAAATTAAGTCAAATGCAGACATTTATATTATAATATAATTGTAAACAATACATAATACATTTTTTCCGATCTTTTTATAGCTCACTGGAGTGTAACTTTAAAATTAGATTTTAACAGCTCTATTTGTCCCGATGACCACTGTCACTAGGACAGAAAAAGAGAGCAGATTCAACAATGGGAAGTTGGGAGGCGACTACTATTTAATTTTAAATTACCCTCAGTCTGTAGAGATTTCCTCTTACTTCCTGCTGGGACTCTGTGACAGGAAGTGAAGGGAAGTTTCCCTAACGTGAGACAGCAATAGATTGACAGGGGTTTTTAAAAAACCTTTCCATACTCCATCCAAAGCTAAAGAAAACTATTTAGTCTTACAAACACTTCAAATACAGCCAACGCTGGCAGTTGAAGACATCACTTCATGAGACATTAAATGACGCATCCCATTACTTTCCTACATCTTCTAACTGCCGCTGCCTGACAGTTAAAGGACATACTGCACAAAGAGGCTTCGAAGAATGCCATTTTAGAACAAAAAAGCATGTTAGTCTAATGGGTTAAAGAAAACCTAAGCACCAGAGCAAATGAAAAATGCAACCAAAAGGATTTATAGAACAGAACTGAAAACTAAAACATCTCTCTAATTGGCTGCTTTTGTAAACACCTCCATTTTTCCATACATTTATTTTCCTACAAGGCCCTAAATGAACTTCAGCAAGTACAAAAAGTTCCAACAACCAGCATCACAATAATACCATCATCAGCTCTAATATGACTGGGGGGTTACCATGATTTATTATTGTAATTGTAACTTGGAATGGTTTATGGGTCATTTAATAGAAATACACATCTTCTTTGCATCTGGTATCTTAAAAGAAACAATAAAAATCACCAGAACATAAATCAGAATTATTTTTGCTATCTATGTTGCAATATCAGCTTAAATAGCCTTTGAACAAGCCGGTGATCGTGTATTTAATTGCATGATCTTTCGCAATGCCTCATTTAGCATCAGAGCTGGGAACATATAGGACCAGGCAAGGAAAATAAATTACACTCTGATTACCTGTTTCAGACAGGGAAACTGGATGGAGCCAAGTGCTATATTTAGTGTTAATGAACCAATTCTTTTAACCAACTACGGTCCTTTTAGCCAAAACAAGGTAACAGGTCTGGAGAGTAACAGTACACCTTTATATACTGGAATATTAGAATGACTTAAAGTAAAGCCTATTACAAGGCTCAGCAATTCAAACTGAGCAAAGGATGAAGAGCACACAGTCTACATTCCCTGAAAATTCCAAAATGAACAGAAGAAATATTCTTTTGTTATTCTGCAAATTTCTAACCAGTCTCCACCTCCCTCCACTTTTGAAACTCCATACTGAACCTTTAAAGTAGATGCAAACCCAACTAAATTACATTTGTTCTGCTAATGCACTGTGTATCAAAAATGATTGCCATTTCTAACAAACATTCATTTCCATATTTTTTCATCTTTGGTTGCATCTCAATGCTACTGATCTCCAGCAACCACTTCATGTCTACATATAAACACTCCAGCAATGGCAGCATGGCATGCCCAAGGATAGGTTTCCCACTGGTGATAACAGTGCATTATAAATGCATGTATGTTGAAGCGACCAATAGTTTCCAACAGAAGCCCAAGATAGGCTGATTAATGCATGAGGAAAACTGGGAGACAGGCACAAAAAATGAGCAAAAGAGCCTGCACAAGGAACCTCATGACATGTTCACCAGGTGTTAGGTGATGACCCCCACCCCAACCCCACTGTTGGTTGCTAGGACGCTGGCACCTGGGCCCCACAGTGTGACTGGTAGCAAGGAGGCCAGCATCATTAGTTATGTTGCAGGTGGCCCCTGTGCAACCCAAAAGCTAAGCATATGAAGGGCTCAACATGCACTCCAGTATGAAAATTTAAGCTAGCCATAAACAGTTCTTTTTCATATAGTCAACGCAAGTAAGGTGGATAGAGGAATCCCACCCACCAGGACATTGTATCCTATTCCCTACTGAACCCACCAAATTGTGGTCAGCGTATGGCTAACTTTAGGCCTCAGCCGTGCCATACTGTACCTGCATGATTTTTGCCTTACGGCCACCTCAATTTGCCTTGTGGGCAGCACAGCCCTGATGGGGGTGATCCCATGACTGTTCAGGAGGAGCTAGGAAGTTTGATTTATTCCACTTATTCTTTAAGTGGCTTTCACAATGTTTACAATTGAATTGGGTTGTGTTATCTTACAATTATGATGTGAATACTGCTAAGAGCAGAACATTTTCAGTAGCTTCCTGTTATGGAGGGCTGCCTATAATGAAGATCCTGTTGTGGACTTGTAACACTAACTAGCCTTCTGAATGAGTACATACAAAATACGCTAGCAGCAATCCAGAAGGTAAGCAAAGAGTTCAAATGACAAACTTTCACTTTGTTTTTTTTCAACCATCAATTAAAAAAAGAACACTCATTGTAATAATGTAATCCAGAACCAGCTTTGCAAATGGCAGTAGACTTTTTTTTGTTTTTCTTTTACACAAGAGCAATAAATCAGGCAACATGTATTCTATCTTTAAGAAGATGCACTTCTGTAGAATTTGACTTGTGGCTGCTCTCATACGTCAATGAAGTAGCCAAAAATATTGGCTTTTTGAACTGTACCTGGGTCTTATCAATTTAGACCAGTCTATCTCAATTGGGGTTCCTCTGGGAGTTGCTAGCGGTTTCTTAAGTAATGAGAATTTTCTGACTCTGATAATTTAGCACATTCTTCCCATTAGTCACCAATGTAAGAAGCATTCATCCAACTAATCACCTGACTCTGATAATTTAGCACATTCTTCCCATTAGTCACCAATGTAAGAAGCATTCATCCCACTAATCACCAGTGCTATTGGACCGTTTTCCCACTGACCACCAGTGTAAGAGATCATTTTATTGACCATCAATGTAAAAGGGGAGCTTTTAATGACCAACAGCTTAAGGAGGCACCCTGCACATCCCCCCCTTCCCGCCAGGAGAACACAATAGCTCCACAGGAGAGATTCCGCCATTAACAATGACTGTGTTGACGGGGAAATTGAGCAATTTTTCTTTCCTGCAACCAAGTTTTGCAGGAAAGAAAATCGCATCATCTATGGCCTGCCTCATTATATTTCATTCCTAGACACATTTTAATCATTGAAAATGTTGAAGAAAATAGAGCAGCCCTGGGTGTCAAAGGTACCAAGTACACCACATTCCTGATTTAATTTTCCCTTATAGCAGGGCTCAAAATTTCATGTCCAGAGCTACCAGCCAGGCCTAAAGAGTTACTCGCCACCAGTCGCCCCACCCAACTCCCCCGCCCCTAAACACATCCTTGTAAATTATCTCATGAAATGTCACTGTTAAATGTTTTATGCAGAATAAAGTTGCAAAAATAATTATTAACAGCAGCTTTAACAATATTAACATAAAGCAATGTAAACATCTCCTCTGTCCCATGTCCTCTTCCAGTCCCCATCTCCCTCATTCCATGTTCTCCTCTTTTAGTGTGATCTCCTCCATCCCATGTCCTCCTCCTCCATCCCACGTCCTCCTCCTCCATCCCACGTCCTCCTCCAGTACCATCTCCCCCATCCCACGTCCTCATCCAGTACCATCTCCCCCATCCCATGTCCTCCTCCAGTACTATCTACTCCATCCCACGTCCTCCTCCAGTACCATCTCCTCCATCCCACATCCTTCTCCAGTCCCATCTCCTCCATCCCACATCCTTCTCCAGTCCCATCTCCTTTATCCCATGTCCTCTTCCAGTCCCATCTCCTTCATCCCATGTCTTCCTGTACGCACATCAAATAATATACTGACCATACCCCAGTATCTCACCTTGCTGACAATAGCTGGACTGGTGGAAATTCCCAGAAAAAGCCTACTGGTTTTTAGTGGCCGCTCAGTCGGGGCAGCTGCACCCTATTCTCCAGGTCCAGGGGATCCAGACGGCTGGAGAAGGAGCCACCACTACAGGACAGGAAGGAAGAAACCACAAAGAAAAGCTGCAGGGGAGTGGGGGTGAGCCAGAACAGTAGAAATTCATCCAGTGAGCCATTTTGTTAAACTCCTCTGTTAAAAGGGAGCAGTCAATGTGCTAGCTAAGTACCCAACACCCTTTACAAACCTTGTGCTGGTACACATGTCATCCACTGCATCAAAATTTTGATAAACAGGGTTTATGCAAATTAAGTGTTTTAAGCCTTGTACGCACAAGGCTGCGAGCACAGATTGGAGCTGACTAGCTCCTTTTTTCCCAGCATGCCTGTTCGACAGAAGCCGGACAGGCTGCGGAACACATTGGCCAAATGTCAGCTGGTTTCTGTTGAACTGGCCAGTACCG